ATTTGTTCAGAGGAGGTTTGCCATTGTCTTCCCCTGAGGCTGAGAGAGCATGACTTGCCCAAGGTCAGCCAGTGGGTTTCACGGTTGAGCTCAGACTTGAACCATGGTCTCCAGAGTCTTAGTCCAACACTCAAACACCATGCTGGCTCTCTAAAACACATACACACCCACTTTAAAACAGCAACTTTGGTTGCAATGATTGCATGATGTTGTCAAACCATTGGTACAGCATCCCTTTTCATTGATGGGAAAACCCCTCAACAGGCTCCCAATCACACTGTTTTTCCATTACTTCACAGACTCTCTACATCTGCACAAATCTGAACTGAGTCATTCCACAACATCCGTATTCACCTAAATATTGTAACACTGTGAAGTTACAACATACAGGCATCCCTTGCAAAATGGGAGTTAACGGACCAACAGCAACCAGCAATAGCTGCATCTGCATTGCAGGAATACTCCAGTTTGGCACCACTTTAACTGCTATGGCCCAAATGCTATGGAAATTCTGGGAACTGTAGTTTGTTTTGGTAACAGAGGTCTCTGATAGAGAAGGCTAAATGTCTCACAAGACTATAATTCCAAGAATCCCATAGTATTGAGCCATGGCAAAGTGGTATCAGGTTGGATTATTTCTGCAGTGCAGATGCAGGTAAGGACACCCTCCCTACCCCTGCTTGCAAAATGAAATAGTTTCAAATATGGATGGAGAGGAGAGATATTGAGCAAAGCCCCTGGGCCTGTATTTCTTTAATTTTCTCCAGTTTTGGGAGCTCACCAGTTGGTCCTCTGGGGTAACTCATAGGAACGTCTTTTATCCCCTCTCTCTGCTACAAGCAAAGTCCTCGAGTCTCTTGCAGTTTCATGGTCCTCCATGCTTTATAGCTCTTTCATTACTGACTCCCTCTCCCTTGGCATCTGAAAGGGATGGCTTGCCTTCCTTCGACTGCCTCCTTTCCAAATTGTTTTCTATTTTTACTTAGCGGCTTCAACCACAGTGTTAAGCAAGAGCATGTAATTAATCATGGCGATCCCGATCTTGGCCCTCTGCAGAACTGTCATTAATTAAGATAACAAATCAGGAGAAGGAAGCTGAACTGGTGCATATTGAAAGAAAGGAAGGAGGGAGGAGAAAAAGAGAAAGAGAGAGAGAAAGAGAGAGAGAGAGAGAAGGAAAAAGGACTGGATCCACTCTACTGTCACTTTTCAAACCTTGCAAAAACAACTCTAGCTCTTCTTTACTTACAGGATTAAAATGTGGTGGTGGTGGTGGTGTGGAAACAAATTCTAACACGGAAATAGTGGCTCCCGTGTCAGTGGGTTGGGAATCCATGCTATGTTTTCACTTGCTGTAAAGGAGGTCTCCATGATGCTGAATCTACTTAAGAATAGGTTTCAGGACCTTGGATAACACTATTATAGCTGGATTATAAAATGACTAGTGGAGTTTCTATGCCCCACTGGCATAGAAACAACCAACCACCAAGTTAAAATCATAGAATCATAGAGTTGGAACAAATCCCAAAGGCCATCCAGCCCAATCCCATTCTGCAATGCAAGAATACACAGAACCTAGAGTTGGAAGAGACCTCAAGGGCCATACAGTCAAACCCCTTCGGTCATTTATCAGTTCATTTCCCATCATTCCTCCACGTCACAACATGTTGGTTTTTGCAAATGCAAAACTCCAAATGATGGTTTTTGCAAATGTGAGAACTTTTTCTAAGAGGGGCAAGAATACATCTTGCCATTCTCACAAGAGGAC